CCTTGGGAATTCATTTAGGCTTTTCTCATATATTATAATTATAAAAAATATGTCAAATAATGACGCAACCTAATATTGAAAAGATTGGTTAGATAATGAGAAAATTGGATATATATATGAGCTGGGCTTGCAATATTTCATAAATTCGCCGTGATGACAATAAATAAATTTGGGCTATGGTATTTATCATTAGTGTTTCGATCCGTGACCGAGTTCAACCGGATGAACCTGGACTGCTGGACAATTTTATTTTTTCCGGATGTCCAGATAATTGCAGTTTTATCCGGATAAAATATCCAGTTAATAATATCCGGATTTGACCCAGAATCCAGATAATACAATTTGTAAAAAAATTTTTTCTCTAAATCAAAAAATTCGATTTTCGATTTCGGGATCAACTACCATAATAGTAATGGCGCAGCAATTTTGAAACTGATAGCATAATTCACTAATTCAGGTAAGAAAGGTAAAAACTCATAATGCCGATTGAAATTATAATTTAATTTAACTCGAATACACTTTATTAAATCAATTAAATACTGTAATTTTAATTAAATAATATCATCAATTTAATCAAATAAATATTATGTATTTATTAAACAAAAGGTAAATTTTTATATAATATAATATATTATCCTATACGGATTTCCGGTTTCTATCCGATAATTTTTTTAATTATCCGTATAACGGTTTCTATCCGGATCGAAACACTACCTGTTAGTGACGTGTGACGATTTAAATAAAATTTTTCCATTAAATAATTATCTATGAAAAATAAAAGCCTTTTGCTATAAATGAAAAAAATGAAAAAAAAACTTACCAGTAATTTTAGTTTATTAAGTCTTTGTAAATTCCTTTTTACTGTGCCACGTTATAAAAGATCATTAATCGTGATTTCATACAGAAAAAATGTCGTGAAACTGTACACTTGTGGAACCTTGCGCCTTCATGCAGAAAATGAAAGCCCCTTACTCCCCACTTTTTTTTTTCCTCACGGGAACTTTACTCACTTTTATCCATTACTAAACAAAAATAGACACAAGTGAAAGAATAAACTTGGTCAACCTTATTTATCGACTTGTCATATAATTACAAATCATTTAAGTCTTCATTTACGCCATCTCCTTATCATTGTTATATATTTATTTTTTTGCTGGAAACAGTTTTAAATTTCTTACACACTACTATACCAAATGATAAGAAAAGAGAGAAAAGAGAGAAAAAAGAAACTTGTTTGGGAACATTTTACTATAGAGGATAAAAGTGTTGACAAGCATCCCCCTGTAAAATGTAGTTATTGTTTAAAAGAATTTAAACGAGGTGTTCCTGAACGAATGCAAGCACATCTTGATTATAAATGTTCAAATGCACCATATAATGTAAAATCACAATTTGGACAACAAAATACTACATCAATAACTGGTAACTTTAATGACCATACAAGGGAAAAGGAACAACAATCTCTTGAGATCTTACTAACTGAAGCATTATCTTTAGCTGAAATTTCCTTTTCTTTTGTTGATAATCCACTTATTATTCGATTTTTTAAACGCCTTCAGACATCATTTAAATTACCAAATAGAGAAAAAATGGAAGAAATAAAAATGCAAATGAATAATAATACTCAATCAAGTTTATTAAAACAAACTAGAATTGAAATAACTACTGGATTTTATAAAGAAGCTGAAAAAGGTCATATTAATTCAATACATGCTCTTGGAGAATGCTATTATTATTACAGAGAGACTGAGGAAGATGATGTTATAGCATTTGAATTATATAAAGAAGCAGCTGAAAAAGGTCATATTGATTCAATACATGATCTTGGAAAATGCTATTATTATGGAAGAGGAACTGATAAAAATGAAGTTAAAGCATTTGAATTGTATAAAGAAGCAACTAAAAAAGGTCATATTGATTCAATATATAATCTTGGAGAATGCTATTATTATGGAAGAGGGACTGATAAAAATGAAGTTAAAGCATTTGAATTATATAAAGAAGCAGCTGAAAAAGGCCATAGAGATTCAATACATAGTCTTGGAGTTTGTTATCAGAATGGAATAGGAACTGAAAAAGATGAAATTAAAGCATTTGAATTATATAAAGATGCAGCTGACAAAGATAATATTAATTCAATAAATAATCTTGGATATTGTTATCAGAATGGAATAGGAATTGAAAAAGATGAAATTAAAGCATTTGAATTATATAAAAAAGCAGCTGACAAAAATAATATTAATTCAATAAATAATCTTGGATATTGTTATCAGAATGGAATAGGAACTGAAAAAGATGAAAATAAAGCATTTATACTATATAAAAAAGCAGTTGAAAGGGGGCAGATTAATTCAAATACTAAACTTGGATATTGTTACCAGTATGGAATAGGGACTGAAAAAAATGAAGTTCAAGCATTTAAATCATATAAAGAAGCAGCTGATAAAGGTAACATTGAATCTATGTATAAACTGGGTGAATGTTATTTACATGGAATAGGAACTGAAATAAATTTAAGCAAATCACATGAATATTATAACAAAGCAGGGAGGATAACCTAGGAGATATGATTATTTTGAAAAGCAAATGAAATTAAGCTATTTGAAAAATTTTTTGAAATAAAAACTTAAAATGAACAATTAAAAGATTATAATAATATATATGGATAATGGAATGAAATTTATTATATGAAAATAATCTGTTTGTTCATCCTTTATTATTAAGCATTCTATACCGTATTACTGTAAGTAATGACTGTAAAGAATTAAAAGAGTTTGTTCAGTACTTCTGGTACTAGTGCCTCAAGAGACAATAGTTTTATATTAATTATTAGATAGTTATGTACAGGATAGTTACAGTATATGTAATTTTAACTTTTATTATTTATATTATAAAATAAAGTATCCAAGTTTCTTTTATCATAAAAATTATCGTGTTCTTTTTTGCTAGTGAATGGAATGATAAAATTCATCAAATGTATGGAATCTAAACACTAATCTATATTGCAATGGTGTGGATATTGTTGTCATAAAAATCAAGTTTGGTAAAAAAGACCAGTTTAATATAGCATACAGTAGTTTAATAAAATATAAAATAAAAGCCAGTTCTAATATTTTGTTGAATAGTAAATGAATATTATTAAAAACAATAAAATTCACTAAATATGTAAATATATATTTTTTTTTTATGGTTAACTTGACAAAGATTTCTATTATTTTATTCAAAATTTGCATCATTTTATTATATGAATAATGATTAACATATTTAGGAACTTTTATTTTGACTTATATCTTGTCATTATCAAAATATAGGAATGATATTTGGCAAATTTTTTTTCAAAAGTTTTACAACAAAATTGCGATTTAAAATTTCCTGTAACACTCTTATGTCATATTAAATTTAGCCATCAAATTATGATGAGATTTATCATTGATATTTGTTTTTGAATATCATATCAACGTACTGAAATTTTATTTTTATTTTTTTATTTGGACATTTAGCAATGTCATTATAATTAAAGATTGTGCATAACATTCTTTCAATAAATTTTCAGCTGCTTTTTATTTATCATTGAAGGGATCTAAATTTCCATTTTAAAATATAATAATGTTAAGGATGTATGATATAAAAAATATATATAAAATTTCCAAAGGGGGGGGGGGAGCAATATAATATGATAAAATGTCTATTTTTTTTAATATTAGATGACTTATTAATGACAGTCGTATATTTCATTATTTAGAATTTATCAAATTTTTTTATTTATCATCTTATTTCGATCATTCCAATCATTAAAAAATTTTCATTAATTTTCGTGTAACTTTACAATAAAGTCGCAATCACTTTAATAAAAAAAATTTATTAAAAACAATATATACAGTATTTTTTATAAATTTTTGCATTCAAATTTTCGCGATCAATTTTTTTTTAATTTCGTCACGTAATGAAATTAAAATATCATGTATTCTAAATTATTATGTGATGAAAGAGATTTAGGAAAAGTAATGAAAGTAAAAATAGAATCAATTAAAGGTTTAATGGTTGTATATTTAAAAAAATATTCTGTTTGCCAATAATAAGCGAAATATATGGCTATTTAGACGTTATTTATTTTGTTAGAAATTGCGATTGTGGTTTCTCTGGTTTCAATTGCTCTATTGTGTTTAAATAATAATGATATAAGGTTATATAGTAGACGAAGGATTTATAACAATTGATGAAATGTTAAATGAGAAAATTTACTTCAAAGTTTACAAAGTTTAAAATCTACAAAAATAATGTATATCTTACAATTAGTGACAGAAAACCGTTGTGGTTTAATAGGCAATTTTATGGAAGAAATTGTTATAGAAGCAAAAAAAATACAATTGAAAGAGCGTGGTGGAGCGTGGTGAAGAAATGCTATTTCTAAAGAAGATAAAAGAAAAAAATATGAAGTAGATGAGAATAGTGATTTAATATGTTTAATTTAAAGATTTAAAATGTCGTTCAAAAGAGAATTCATATTAAATCAAAGTAAAAAAGTGGATAGAGGCGATGCTAAATAAAAAACGAGTCGTTTGAGATTGAAACTAGGAATACTTGAATATGAGATTAAGATTTAAATACGAAGGTAGTATAGTTAGTAGTAAATGTGATATAATTATATGCAAAAAATATACAAAAAATGGAAATAACATCCAATTATAACGATCGTATGCAGTTGATATTAACTATCGTTTGTGTCAAACGGCGTATATTAAAAAATATTATACAAAAAAGTTATCAAAACAAGAAAGCATTAAAATCATAAATTTTAATAATATTTCACTTTTACAGTTAAAAAATTGCATTTTATATTGAATAAATTCCAAAAATGATCGTTTAATTATTCCATTTTTTTTTTCTTTTAATAACATAGGACTGATTATATGTAAAAATAAAAATTAAACAATTGTTCTATCTGATAATGTACATCACATTAATATTTTATTTCTTCTGAAATTATCCGTAAGCGATATCTACCTATACTTGTCAGGTAATTGATGCAGTCTTTCAATCAATCTCTCCTCTCTTCTCTCCTCCCTTGAAGATAATCCCTAAAAATGAAATTATTTATACAGTACTTCAAATATATCTAGATAGAGAAATATTGATAAACCTGCAAATTTATAGATTTCAAAAAATTATCGAAGACCTCTAAATAACGAATATCGTTTCTAAAAAAAAAATTATTATTAATCACTATAACTTAATAAGCCACTATAATTATATACATTTACCCTGAAGGAGCTGGAATATTCACTGAAGACGTATCGTTAATGTAACCCATTCTTTTTTCATATTTGGATTCATTTTCTACTTTAGCCCCTGATCCAATAACAATTTGGAGATTTCTTCCTCATTAAAATGCCTTTGAGCAAGAATGGCGATGGTATTTGAAATTCAGTGTATTTTAATGAATATACTTTTTGAAGTAGAAAAATCACAATATTGATGTTGAAACAAAAAAAAAAAAGACGTCAGTATAATAATAACATAATAAATCGATATACGTACTTACAATATCAGGTGTCAAAGCTTCCAAATTACATGCCACTAAATTTCTTTTACTTCGATTGAATTTGTTGCAATAAATTTTCTATTAGGAGAGATCAAAAATTCAACCCATATATAATTCGTTCAAAACATCAATAGTTAATTAATTACAATCGTAATTCCAATAAAGAACTCATCCATGATTCAATACGTTGAGATGATGAAATTGTGGTTTACTCTAAAAAATATTAATAATCAGAAGTCGCCCATTTGAAGAAAAAACCAATAATCCTACCCTCTCTGATTCTCTCTTATTTTCCTCTCTTTTCCCTTATTTTATCCTTTTTTGCTTATATTATTATGTTTCAGTATAAAATAGTTCAAAAATAACATATCTGATAACATTATATAAAATCAAAGTTTTCGCTTACAGTATCTTCAACTCCAATTTTATAGATTTGAATTAAGCTATTAAAATGAAACATCATATATCCCGACCTATGATAATAAAACAATTGCATTTACTTACCAACGATTAAGATTATTCTACCATTTTTGACATTATTATTATTCTACATGTGTTACTAAAGCTTAACTGACTGGCGTGCCGGCGTACGTGACGTCTGTAGCAAAAGATCCACTATCCCATATACAGCATATATTGACCATCAAAGAAACTTATAATAATATATTCTCCTCTGGAACTTAAGTGATGTGAGAATCGTTATAAATATAAGCTTATTCTTATAATTAACTTATTCAAAAATATACATACATGTCTCCCTCTTTGATATAATTCAATACTTTCTGCTTGGACCAGTCAGCCATATCTCGCAATAACATTTCTGATTTTGCACCAGTGATGGTTAAATGTCGTTCCAGATGCATTGATATTCAGTTGATGGCTTCTTCAGCAATAAGTTGACGAGTTTCTAGAGTACTTAAAGTAATTATTGACATTAAAAATTAATTCAAAAAAAAAAAAATAGAAAACTCAAAAATGCCTTGTTACTTACTAATTCATCTCAAATCAAAGGAGTAAGCGCAATAGTGGAATTCGCTATACCTAATCAAATAACTTATCTCAATTTAATTTGAATGAATTATAAAATGAATCATACTTGATTTAACTTATTTATTAATAACAAAATAAAAAAAACATGGTACATCCACTGATCCACGTTGATTAGCTGCAGTCATTTTAATGTTCCATTAATCGCTTTTTCTAACGTACTTGAACCATCATGAAATCTCGATTGGAATCCATTTCCACTTTTTTTTTTGATTTGCCGGAGAGACATAAACATCAAAACGCAACAGTTCCGAATCCTTATATTGATTTTTGAGGTCTACAGGCATTATTAATTAACTTCATTCTAACATAAAAGGCAAAATTAATTATATATAAAATTAACCAATATACATTTTCAACATCATTACCTTCAAATTTTTTTGTTTATTATTTAATTTTTCGATTTCATTATGCTTTTTGAGTTTGTATTTACCGTATTTTTCCTTCCAAATTTGATTTGACTTTACTCCAAAGACAAATATTTTGAAAGTAATTACCCTTTCATTGCAATTTTGCTAGTTTAGTCTGAACGGAGAGTAGGTCGATCATTAGATTGATCGAATCAATTTTCTTTTAAGTGTCACAAACACGTGATCAACAATTATGAAAGATAAATTAACATATTCTTATTTCCTTTCAGTTGATCGTTATTTGGTTAGGTTTGTTTTAAGCCGGTTCTTTTAATTTTATTTTTTTTTAAAAAATAACTTTTATATTATAACAAAGCTTTTCTTTTAATAGTTAAATTGCACAATATTATTGTTTGTAAAAATTCAGTCAAATAATTTAAAATGGATTCAATTCAACAAGATATTATGTTGACTCAATTACTTTCTTTTGGTTTTGACGAATGAATTTGTCGAAAAGCAGTTGCATGTATAGAACTATAAAGATGCTACCGAGTGGTAACAACATAATACATAATACTGTACATAACAATAAATACTGATGATTTAATTGGTTTAATTATATTTTGTTAATTATTATTATACTTTAAAGTGAAAGTATTTAAGGATCCGAACTCGGGAGTTTCTCATCCTACTACAACACTCTCCTTTCCAACGATGTTGTCCCGATGTCGCTTGATACTGCTACGGTAATATTTTAGCGATAAAGTCTTTCTTCAATTACAATTTTAGATTTACTAATAATTAAATAATTTAACAGTCGAGTTTATTTCCGCAACCAGTTCCGCAACCAGTTTTGGTATCTCGTCATTCACAACCAGCTGATAATATACCAAAGAAAGTAGAGCTAAAGTAGTAAAAGCAGCGAAGAAGGCTAAGAACAGAAGAGCGAAGCTCGTAATAATAATAAAGCATTGTTGGCAATCAAAAAAGATTGGATAAGGAATAAACAACGAAAGTTAGTACATCAAATAAGTGGAAGTAAATAAAGTAATATTGGTAAACGCAGCTCAAATGCTTCCCAACCTGAAACGTCAAAACTTTCACACTGCTCTTGTTCAGATACGTTTGTCAACTGGTCAAGCTATTCATCAAAAGTTTTTCCTATTTACGAAAATTGCTGATTACTGATTTATCTGAATGGGTATCTAATCAAGTAAAAAAATTATCAATTGATTTAACATTTCTAGAAAGATATTTGGAGATGATCAAATGGATAGACCCTCGCAGATGTTCATTTGATACTAAACATGTTGTAAAGCTTATATTTCGCCACAAAAACTACAACATCAAATACTTCAAATATTTCAAAATACTTCAGATAGGAGATTGTACATTACAGTATAATGAGTTGGATGATGATGACGACGATGATGATGATGATAGTAGTCAGAGTAGTCAAAGATATATGATAGGAAATATGTAAGTTTGGATGACTTTCATGTTTCACGCACTTCGAGATTGTTTCAACAACTGAAGAATAGTAATTAGCCACTTTATTAAGAAGTTTTTTTCTAAACATTAAATTAACAATTAAATTATTTTATTTACAAGCTTAAATATAGTTCACCTACTATTAAAAGTGCTATTGGATCAGCTGGTGGTGCCTTAGGTTAGTATTGTCAGTAGATTTTAGTAGACTTATGCAGAAGACGAATATAACAAATATTAATCAATAATATCCAATCAAGATCAGACACGAATAAAGGATAGACCACAATAAAACTTAAAACTCTAAAAAAAATAAAATAAAGTGTATATTTGTGAGATAATAAAAATAGATATATTAAATAAATTGAGTATATTGAATATATGCCACATGTTTAATATGTTTAATATGTTAATTTAGAACATTGATCATCGATAGGTCACGTAACAAATAGGTCACTCTAGTAACAGGTCGGTAACTCGGTAGGCATACCTTATTTACACTTTGACTATAAACTTTATTAACTTTATTAATTCTTTCTTTTGGTAATCAAATAGGAGTTTGTTGGAGGCATTGCTATAGTACTCTATGGTGATTCTCATGGAAATTCAAGGAAAATCTCTAATTGTTTTTTTTGGTTAATGTCGAAGATCCAAAAGAAGTAAAGTTAAAATTTGAAAATCACCTGATCGATTAAACTTTAGCCATGATGCAATTGATGCATGGACTAGGCTCTTACGATCCTCCAACGATGACGTCCTGATTTATACGCTTTGCAGTTCGCAATGCTTACATCATGTATTATTCATGAAACAGTTAGATATTGAATCTGTTTGTCTTTAATATTATTTCTTTAATTATTGTTTTGATGATCCCATTTATCTGCAACGAGGGTAACTCTTAAATTCCTAGGTCATTGGTATCCTTAACGGAATATTCTCTTTCCTTTTTAAACGAGTTTTAAACGAATTTAGATCTACATAAAATTCTATCACATAATTTATTCGTGATTTTTTAAAAACAATGACATTACTAAATTAAGTAAACAAAACTTTACATTTATATTCGAGAAATAATTTAAAAAAATTAACAGTAATTAATAATAAGCTAATAAACTTTTGTGTTACCATTCACGATAATAAATATCAGAATAAGGACGTACAGTATATCACCTGAAGTTATTTTAAGGCAAATTTATAGATTTATAATTTGACATATGCTATTAATTGTTTATATATAATTATATTTATTTCATTGAACGGGCAAATTTCATTTAAGTATTATTTTTAAGAAAATTCTACTTTGATATAAATAATAAGAAAATACTCAAACAACATCGTTGCATTCTTAGTAAACGAAAAAATATAATATATATATATATACTGTATATTTGCTTTGTGTATATGTCACATTCTTTACATTCATTGCAAATTTGGCAAGTCAGTGCTGTTGATTCATTTTCGTTATCAATTTTCAGGATCAATAAAATCCATGCATCACACGCCTTCGACATGAACTAAATCCTTTTTGACATAAGCGTCTAAAATCTGCTAATTTTATTATATCTTTAGGCACCATTTAGTTATACCTGCCGGATAGCAAGTTTTACATGTATTTATTTATTCGTTCCTAGGAGATTTTGTAGTAAAAATTAACTATTGATTATACAATAATAGATGGTTTTAAAAATTTGTGTAATTCAGAAAGATTTGCATTTTCCAAATGAGAAAAGTTTTAATTTATCTATAATATCAATATTATCTTTCAAATGTAATTCTGAAGCTTTTTACTCATTTTTTAAATTTTTTAATATGAAAAAATAAAAAGCGATCATTTATTCGATCTCTAAAATCTTACTTACAGGATAAGCAAGAGTTCACAAAGGTTTCCCAAAAATGTCCATCTCTCAAAAAATTGGGTCGATGCGTGATTGGCTCATTTATGCTCCGGACTTTCTGAAACCGTTCCCTATAATATTAATACTTTGAACTTAAAAAAAAACTTCCCGTGCAAATTAACATTAATCAAAGAATTTTCCGACCTTAAAAAAACTTATTTTGGTCTAACAAAGTAATATAATGTAATATAATTTAGTCCGCAGCGCTTCGTTATCTTTACCCAACAAAAATCTGTTGAATGATCGGAATTTTTTTAGTTGATTATATGTATGTTTCATGAAATAATTTTTTTTTTTTATATATATAATGTTGCAATTATAATTTCAATTTTCAAATATAATAGATAGAATTTTTGGGTTTTGATAGAATTATTTTGTGATTACACTTATCAATATTTGATTAATGAGAATTTTTTCAATAATTCTGCTTATATAATTATAATATATTATCCGAAGCGGAGGCGCCGGTTTATATTTATCTTCGAAATCTGCGTAATGTCACAGATGTTACATTGCTACAACGCCGTATTGTCATATTGCAAAATTTTCTTCTGTTTTTTTATAACAGTCATATTTAAAGCATGTACGAGCTTAGCTTTGTCTTAATAATAAAAATAAAAGCAAAACGACCCTAGCATCGCCATGAAAAAAATGGTAGCCGGGTTTGTTTCTGGGTTACACATGATCTGTGCATATGATCCGGTTGATTATTTTCGGCAATTATAAACTTTTTATTGAAATGTTATCTATGGTTAAAAATATTTAAATTATTGGAAAAGATGAATGATAATATTAGAGCACTAAAAAATCGTCAAACTACACCAAGAACTTGAATCATGATACAATGTATTGGGAATAGTATTGTAGCATGTTTAATGGTATTTGTAACGTATCAAAATAATTAAGAACAAAATCTACTTAAAGAAAGCCAATAATTACAATAAATCTATTAGCAAAAGAAAGTAAAATACAGTACCTTAATAGTTTATCATAATAAATTATAAAATTAAAAATGCATAAAATAAGATTTTTTTAAACATTTATTTTGCCGATGATACATCCCTATAAAAAATTTTTATTCGA